GAGAGTGTTCAGAGACCAAGTACACTAAGACTTTCTGTTTGTCACGTATATTGAGTACCCACATGAAAGAAACACAGTTTGGGAGAAAGATCCATGCATGTAACCATCTTACAATTCTCCACCTACTAGACTGCAGCGGGATCTGCATTGACTCTGTGTGAACTTGAGCAGTAAATTGTTGTAAACCTGCCTGTCAGCAGACGAATGCAGCTCAGTGTTGTTTCACTGACCTCCTTTCTAGCCTCTCGTTCTTTTCACGTGCCAATTCTGGAGACATTAAAGAAGTATTTCTGCAGGCTAGGCTTGGTGACTGAGCTGTGTAATAGGGCTAAATTGAAAAGAAAATAACAACAATTGGCTGAACAACCCAGATTTCCGAGGCTGCTAAATGTGATTGACATTCAGGGTTATTATGCGGATATATGAGGAAATTTGGATATATGTTTTGATGTTGGCAGTGTAGACTTTTCCTATATTTTGCCATCAGTCAGCATAAAATGATGCTAGAATATGGTAGCTAAGATGTCAGAGCAAACAGCCGCGAAATAGAACCATCAGTTATCTATAAAAAGAAAAATGTTGTCATATTCTGCAGACCAGAAAATGGGAAGGGATTACCGTGAGAAGTATCTTAAAAAATATAAACCACAACATTAATATCTGGAAATGTTTCTATTCAGCAACACTCTACATAGAGAATGCAGAACAGCAAGCAGCTTTGCACTTTACCCTTTCCACCCTCTCAGTTAATCATTTATATGAAAATACAGAAAATATTTTATTAATTTTCTTCCAGTTGGATATAGCGTCTCTGCTTTGATGGCAATTGGGCTTTTTTCTGCCTGAAAAATTATTTAATATGTCTACCTTCTGTCAGGAAGGAAGTGGGATGCTTCTCCAAATTTTAAATTCCTTTGAGAATTCTCCACATAAGCATAGGTCTGACTTTTCTTGAAAAGTTAGTAGTTCTGCTGTTGAGACATTGGTTTGGTACTGACTCAGAGAGACACATGCTGCCTACTGAGTCACCATCACTGCTTTGTGGGATAGCTGGATTTGTTCTGGGTGGGGGATTTCCAAGTACTGACCTAGCCCAGGCTTCATTAGGTTCCGAGGCTTGATAGGATCGCAGCCCAGAGCAGTGAACCCGCAGGCCAGATTTGTATCCTTTCTCCTTAATAATGTGCTTGGGTGGGGTGGTGGGAAAACACGCCTTTCTTGCAATGAGTAACTGGATGTTTTACAATCAATACCTTAATTTATGTAATATGTCTTATCATATTTTAAAGTATATGTAAATTTGCTAGTGGTTTAGTGAATAGATCACGTCTGTTTTGAACACAAGATCAAAGAGAATTTTTAAAACCCAATCTGACAACACCAAGCATAAACAAATTGTATAATTTCCCTCCTCCTCTATATCCCCCTGTATATACGTGGAGGGAGAGTGAGGGGAGGATTGAAGAACATGTACATTAATATGCACATTCCTAGCGTTTTTGATAAAGTTGTATAAGGGAAAGTAATGAGGATGGGAGAAGCTGGGAAGGCCAGGGTGACAGGAACTTGACATGAAGCAGGTTATTAAAGCAGCTGGGAATGTGGTGTACACCAACTTTGTGAACGAAAAGCTGTTCTGTGCATGAGAGAAAGAGGAAGCATTTCTGATTTGTCTGCAGAATAATCTAGGCAGCTGCAAGCCTGCAATTCTGCAGGGACTCTCCTGTCTTAAGGATGTCTCACTGCAAGTGAAACTTAGCAATAGTTGTGGCTTTCATGGTAGTGTGCATGGCATATCATTGTTTACATTAGGAGCTAATTTAACTTTGGGTCAGCCTAGATAGTGGCTAAACTCATCTGAAGTATTGTGATTAAAGTTAATAATTTAAGAAGCTTCCCTGCCTTTTAATTACAGTCTTCAGAAAGGTTTTTAGTCTTATTTTCTGCTTATAATTGTTGTCCATTATTGAACAATTTCCTTTAGGTATGGAAGGGCCCCATTTTTTTCATTTTCTCCTATATTTATTTTCATGCTTTTTATTTGGTAAGACCCTTAGCTAAAGAACGTAGCTTTGAAAGATCCTTACTTTTGTAACTTTCATGTACAACAGAGATAAGCCAGCAAACAATAAAAGAATTGAAATCTTTGTAAGCCTTCTTCACCAATGGTTTTAGCTCACTGTTTTAGCATATATCTCTCATCTACATTAATGCTTTTTGTGTGTCCCAGACTATCACTGTCTCAAGACAGGAGTTGTTGAGAGATGCATGTGGGGAATATTTGGTAATGAAGGGACAGAGGAAAAGCTCTGAATAAAAGAGATTAAGATGAATTTTAGATGAAGAATGAGGAAAAGCTTAGACAATTGGTAATTTGTTTTTCAGGCAGGTGATACTTAGGATCTGCATAATTTGCCAAAAATAGATTCTTTTTCCTTTTTAATGTATTTGAGCATGGAAGGGTTTGTTTAATGTTAAGAAAGATCTTGTTTCCATTCTTCAGTAGTACAAAAATACTTCAGAATCTCAACTTCTTTTTTTTTTTTTTCCAGAATGAAATTCTTTTTTCATTGGTCTTAGTTGTAAATAGTTTTATCACATGCACAGGCCTTACAAACATTGTTGTGAAATCATATTAATAAGACTTCCATTATTTTGTAGTTCTATGGAGTTTTACATTCCAGAATATGCATGGAAATTGGAGTGTATTCATATCTGACCTTTTTCCCTACATTGCAGAACAGATTCAGCTGATGTTCACTAGAATGGATTAGAAGTGAAATGAAAAAAAACCCAACATTCCAAACCCAAGGAAAAAATATAGTTAGTAGCTAATTGTTTTGTGAGATTGTGTGCAGTGTGTACACAAATAACTCTTCGTTCCCAGATTAGAATATTTGTCAAGAGTGTACCAAAACAGTGGTACTGAAAGTATCATCGTGGTTTAGGTGAAGAAACATCCACCTCGGAGATTATGGTAAATACAGTTAATAAGGTATAGCTTGTAAAAGGTGGGGGAAATACCCCAGAGTTAATGCATAATTTAGCTGCTGATGTTAAAATTGTAGTAATGCTTCTAGTGTTGGCAAACACAGAGAGGGACACACTAACTCAAACAATTCTGTAAACTGGTTTCTTCTGATAAGAAGGCTGCAGTTTAGCATTACGACATGCTCAGAGAAACAATGCCAAGAGTAAGCTAAGATTATGCTTAGACTGATTTCTTTATCGAGGCAATTTCATGTAGTGTGAATAAGGATTCAAACATGAAAGCGTTTAATATCCAGTACTAGGTCTTACAACCTTTTAACCTGAAAGCAATGCATTTCCTCTTTATTTGCCCTGGTTTTGCAACTTGTCATCTCATCCAATAAATGGCAGAATTGAGTTAGTGTTTTGCAGGGCAATATAAGCTAAAATTTTTATTCTGTATGATGCTACTATATTGAATTACTGGTGGATTTTGGTATGGAGGACAAGGATTGAACCAGCAGATGCCCTGTTTAGACCAGACTGAGAGAACTGTGCTGGTCTCCAGCTCCAGTATTATGGCTTCTGCTTCTTTATGCATAACTGAATTTTCCAAAAGTGCAAGAAATCTGGAAAAAAGGTGGGGAGGGGCCCATGGGGAGAGCAGAGCAGAGCTCTAGCTTTCTGCCTTTTTGTGCTTATAAGAGGTAAAATGGGAAGGGAAGTATATTCCTGCTCTTCTTGTAAATGTGTTTTTCCTCTTTTCCATGAAGAAGACGGACCCAGTTTATTATAGTTTGCAGTTGTAGTTCTAGGCATTCGACATCCATATTGCCAACTGTAATAATTCTAAGTCAGCATCAGTTCATGCTAAACTACACATCTTTGTTCAAGAGGAGTTTGCACGGGAGCACACAAGAAAAAGATTTTTTAAAAGAAAAAGATTTTATTCAGCTGTTCTTTTCTATGAAGTGGAAACTGTTTGATCTCAAGTCTTCTGCCTCCCCTCCAAGTCATGTGCACAGCTTGTCTGGTAAAGATTTTTGCCTCTATGTGTGTATGCAGGTTCTTCAGAGCTGAGCAAGCTAAGCAGAAGTAGTACTGAATCAGTAGAATCCCAGTCATTTCATAAAGGTTACAGGGAAGGGAAGTGAGAGCTATTGTTAGTCTTCAAATGAAAATACCTCCCTCTCCAGATCAAGAAAAGGCCATCAATATGTGCTTGTTAGCTTAGAGAATGGTCCCCCAAAACGTCGTTTTGTACTGTTAAGATACACAACACCCTGAAAAGACGTAGAAGTGAATGATACCTCTGTGTGTTGTATCTTCCAAATTATATAGGTAGCAATTTCACTTCACACTCAGTTGCCACTTTTTGCCTGCCCCAGAATGTGTTTTCTCATTTTCCCTTTCATCATTTGAAGCAGAGAAATGTGTGGATTGATTCATAGAAGAAATCCATACACAAATGAACTAAAGAATATAAAAAATGTAGGCAATACCACAAAACATGAACTGGATTCTAATGTGAACTTCTTATTTTCATATTAATTTATGCTTAAGTGTGCTGAACAATCTGCATATCTCAATGACTCTTAGAAGGGGACAGTTTTCCTGACTTCCATTTGGAACTGTAGTTTGCTCTGGATTCACTGAAAAGTAAAACTAACACACTATTGCCAAGAATTGCAACATATATTTCTTTCCCAGAAATACTGAGAAGTGTCTGAAGTGTTTTAAAAAAAAGTCTGAATAAATAAAACAGAGTAGTAAACTTAATAGCATAAGGACTGCTGAAAGTAATTTTTTTATCATGTTTTCTGACAAGTTTATATGTTTAAAACTATTTTATCTAGAACCTAGTGATGAATAGGTTCTGTCTGCAAAGATCTTCCAATATGATGTTTTTTTAGGGTTGTGATAATTTTATTTGTAATTATGTAATAAAATTAACTGTATCCCTCAAAGGAATTGCCCATTGAAATATACTGAAAAGTTTCTGTTCTGTTTCTTTGATCTGTTTAATGTAGGAAAGAAGGGAAAGGGAACGAAAGCTGAGCAAAGAAATGGCAGAAAAAGCCACAAAGGAACTAGAAAAAATGCAGTTACAAGAAAAGGCTGAAGAAAAGTATAAAGAATGGTTAAAGAAGAAGAGAGCTGAAGAGGCAGAAAAGAAGAAGAAAGAGAAGGTATTAATCAACTAATCATTTATTTGGATGGGGTTACCTGATTTGTAATTTATATTAAATATATTGGTTGATTGAATTGATTAGAATTTATCAAATGGCAACGTTGTACATGAGAAAAACTTTCAAAAGTTGTAATGTTAGTGCACTGAAGACATTGAGGTGTGGTCAGCAAAGCAAGATGCGTATTAACACATTTTTGTTAACAGTCTTTGCAAACCCACTGCAATTGTGATATGATAAGGGAAAGAGAAATGCAAATGACACAGTGTACCTTTATTACTCAGTCTGTTGCAGGGTGACCCAGGCAGAAAATAGGTAGCATTCTGGGCATTTTTCTCCCAGCACCACTGCTATCATTATATTATCATTATACTTGCACATATTTCTAATTAAAAGCATTTTTCTTCATATCTGTCTGTACTAATCTGATGCTAAGAGTTCTGATTTTAATGTTATTTCATATTAATTAATCACCTATGTATTTTTATAGTGAGCTTCAGAAGACTTCTTACTTGTAAGCTTCATAGAGTACAGGCTTTGAGGTCCTCTCGCTCACTAGAACAAATGCTCTAACAAGGCTACGCTTGCAGGAATCATCCAGAATTCCTCTGAAATATCACATGTTGGTAATGATTATGCCTGAAAACTATGAAATGTATGACCAGAAGTCTTATCTGTGAAGCTGATTGGTTGTATTTTAATTTAATTAACATTACAGTATAATTTTTCAGTAGAATATGCGATATTATAGGAGTACTACACTACTGTTGTAGCTAAGTGGGGGAGGATTGTGGTGAGAAGAATTTATCTATATTCCCCCTATAATTACAGCAGTTGTTCTTAAAGTACAGAACACATCTGTAAGTGTTTCACGAGTATGTATAATAATTTCTTTGGATTAACTTTAAAATATTGTAAGCTGTATCAGATTAATTTTCAGGTCTTAATGACCTTAATTTTGCAATCTTTCAAAATTTCCCATCTAATTAAAACACACTTAAATATTCTGTACTGGCGGTGGTTATTTCCTGCTTAGCAAACTGATTCTGTGTCTCTACAGAGCCTCTAAAATGCGCAGTAGAAGGACCTCGAAACCCAAGAAAAATGAAAGTCATCAGACAGATTTAAACCATATGCCTTCTTTTAGTCACCTCTTCATTTTGTAGATTCCTGTAAGCCATGTTCACAGTATCAGTTAAACTTAGTTTAAATCCAAATGCCATGCCTAAGCACACTGTTTTACTTCTGATTAATGGTTCCCAGGCCTGCTCCAGGCTTGGAGGCAACCCAGTCATGGCTGATACAGGGTTGTACGAATGTGGCTAAGTGAGAAGAGTGGATGGTTGTCCCAGATGCGATAGCCTCTTTAGGCTAACTGCAGCACAGTAGGCCCTGGCCGTCTGCCCATTATGTTCAGAATATCTTCTGAGAGGTTTTTCTCAGAGAAACACTGGATTAATGCAGAGGTTGATTTTTTTTTTTTTTCCCCCACGCCCAGACTTAAATAAAAAATATAAATAATAATAAAAAATAATAAATTAAAAAAATGCAACTTTTCTATGGTCAGGAAAATGTATTTCTATTTGAAAACATATTTGAAATATATTCAGCAGTTATTGTACAGGGCTTTGTCTATAAATATCTTAAGGTTTTGTTGGGTTTTTTTTACTTCTAGGAAAAAGAAAAAGAAAGGGAAGCTGAACTACAGGAGAAGAAAGCAAGATCAGAGAAGATCTTTAAGGAATGGCTACATAATGCTAGAAATAAACCACGCCCTGTTTTAAATGGTTATGGCTTCCCACGTGGGAAGTCTACAGGTTTGTACTTCTGCTACACAAACGTAGTTACTTAGGTTTGTGGTTCCTTCCCTCTAATCGTTTAATGTGAAATGAAGCCTGTTTAAGATTTTCATCCAGTATTTAATTTTGGCACATGGGAATGAATATCTCATATGGTATAAGTCAGAGAAGCTTTTACTCTGAGACCCATTGTGCATTTTTTGTAGCCCTTCATGTTATTTGGGAGAAAATCGATATTATTTGAGAGAATAATATGGCATACCAAATTATAACTGATTTTGATCTCATTTTCCTTATCAGGCATAGGAATCACGAGAGCCAATCACTGGTTCCTTTGAAGCAAATCAGTTATGCTGGCATCCTTGTAAAGTTAGTGTTCATGTTACAGAAGCTGTGTGCCACCTTATCGCACCTGAATCCCCCTTAGAAAAGAGGGTTTTTTTTCAGATGCAAAGATTAATAAGAGGCTGACAGAAGTCCTGTCTGAAAAAGGAGACGTGGCAATCAACCTGTGTTCCAAGCTAAGATTTCCTTTCCATTTAGCTTTACACTTGCATCACACCTTCTTGGCTTCTGTAATCCTATTCCTTTTTTGTTTTAAAGGGAAGTGTTAAAGAGAATACTGTTGATAGTGTGGTGTTTTGTGAGTCTCACTTTATTTTTGTATTTTTCGTCATCCCGCATGGTACAAAAGCAGAAGAGCAGTAAGAAATAGCATTGCATTTTTACATTTGAGTGCTTAATTAAATTTTCTTTAAAAATACATATATACTTTTGCCTTTATTTTTTTATATAATTAAAATCATTGTTGTAATTTGGATTCGCAACAGAAAATATTTTAGGACCTAAATTCCAGGCTCTAAATGTTTAAGAAAATGTATAAAGCAGGTGAACAACCTTTGCTCGTTTGCTTACATCTGTTTATAGATGGGGGATACACTTTGCCTTCATGTTTTGTTTTGGACCTTCATTATTTCCCCACAGCTGCAATCACTTCTTTAAGTGATTTTTGAAAAATATTTCTCTACTCAGTTGTATTCATGCAATAAAATATATTACAGGCTTTGTTTTACCCAGCCACATGATGTATGCACTGAAATTTCACTACAGACAAACGACTGATAGGGCAACATGTTCCTTCTGTTGCATTTTAGTTTTTCTGATATTGCTTTATGGGCCGTAGGTTATTAATTGCAGATTATTAATGTATATGTGGATAATTAGTGTATTTTTCTCCTCAATAAAATGAAGAACAACAGTTAAGCAAAGATGGAAAAATATGAGAGCTTTGCATACGTGGTGACAGGAAGTTTTATTTATGAATGTTTTGAAATAATGCTAAGGATCCAATTCATAGACATTTACAGCTTTTAAGTATACAAAGGACTGAGCATTCTGAATGTTACACAGCATTTGACCTGCTTATTATTTTAAATAGAGATGAACAATGTGCCAGTTATTGGTTTAAAAAAAAAAAAAAGGTGGAAGATTTATTACTTTGAATCATTTAAATTATGTGATGTGCCTATGCTGTCTTCCTCTGAAGACACTGTTGTGTCTTTGTTAGTCCAGATGATTATTATAACTGCTTGTATTGTAAAGCTTGTAGTGTAAATATTCCTTTTTAGTTATGTGTATTTTCTAAATGTTTTAGGGTGTGCTGATGGAAATTTGTATCCAGCTCCAGCATATTGTAACCCCATTCCTTGGAAACCTATAAATGTGCCTCCTCCAAAGGAAGATGGTGTTCTTACCATGAAGAAGAGTAAGAGACCTGTATCTTGTCAGTCACATGTGTCTTCACCTAGAGTAATTTATAAGCCCAAAACCAACCCTTGTATTGGATCCTTGTGCAAAAAGCAGTTATAGTACAGAAAACAAAACTATTCTTATGATCTTGAGTGAACTGGGCCATAAATATAAAGTTATATGTATTTATATGTCCAAAACAGGCTGCTTTTTGTTTGTTTGTTTTTTGTGAACAGGCTTTGTATTTATAGCTGACCAATCAGCATTTTTGTATGGTTTTTTATATGTTGCATTTTAGTAAAAAAAGAGAAAAAGAAAAAAGTCATATTTAGCTAATTGTAATGGAACTGTACGTCAATACCAATAAAACGCACAGATTGTTTCTTCCTTTTCTCCTCTTTTGTTGTTGAAGAAGTTCTTTTCTGTATGTGATTATTCTTTTGGGTGACAGTATTACTGGGTTATTTTAAAGGTGCTAATTATAACAGACTTTAAGACAATTCTTGGCTTAATGCAGAAGGAATTCAAGGCCTGCATGCAGTTGCAGGGCTATGATGTCATCGGGATCGCAGAGATGTAGGTGGGATAGCTTACATCGCTGGAGTGCTGCAGTGGATGGATGCAGGCTCTTTAGGAAGCATAGGCTGGGACAGCGAGGCGGTGAGAGGGGAGGAGAAACACCTGAAGTTTTGCCAATGATTAGCTGAGACCTAATGAGTTAAGATTAAAAAGGAAGACTGAGGTGGGCAATGTTGTGGTGGGTGTCTGCTACAGACCACCTGACCAGGAAGAAGTGTGTGGCATTCTTCAGGCAGTCGGAAGAAGCCTTATGCTTGCAGACCCTGGTCTCATAGGGAGACTTGAACCACCCTGAAATCTGCTGGAAGGGCAACACAGCAGGGCGCAAACAGTCAAGGGAGTTTGTGGAGAGCATTGGTAACTTCCTGAACTTCCTGACACAGCCGGTAAGGAGCTGACAAGGGGAAGCTCTTTGCTGGACCTGATGTACAAACAAGGGAGACCTGGTCAGGGATGTGAAGGTTGGGGGCAGCTTTGCCTGCAGTGACCATAGGATGGTGGAGTTCAGGATCCTGAGAGGAGGGAACAAATAGCAGGATCACAACCCTGAAACTCAGGAGAGCAGATTTTGTCCTGTTCAAGAACTTGCTTGGAAAAATCCCATGGAATGTGGTCATGGAGAAAAGAGAGGTCCAGGAGAGCTGGTGATTTTCAAGGATTGCTTCCTCCAAGCTCAAGGATGGTCCATCCCAATGAGCAGAAACTCAAGCAGAAGTGGCAGAAAGCCTGCATAGATGAACAAGGAACCCCTGACTAAAATGAGATAGAAAAAGGAAGCATGCAAGAGGGGGCAGCAGGAACAGGTGACCCTGGTGCAATATAGAAACACTTTCCAAGTGCGCAGGGATGGGATTGGGAAAGCCAAAGTCTGTCTGGAGTTGAAACTAGCAAGGGATGTGAAGGGCAACAAGAAGGGCTTCTGTGGGTATATCGTCAGCAGAAGGAAATCAAGACAAATGTGGGCCCACTGCCACATGGGGCAGGGGCTTGGTGAAAATGGACATAGAAAAGGCCAAGGTACTTGATGCCTTCTTCACACTTTTTTTTTTTCTTTTTTTTTTTTTTCCTGGCAATCTGCTGATTGACCTCAGCAATCACAGGTCCCAGAGTCCAGTGGGAAAATCTGGAGCAAGGGAGGCAACCTTGGTGGTGGAGGATCAGTTTAGGGAATATCTAAACAAACTGGACATACACGGGTCTATGGGATCTGATAGGGTGCACCTGTGAATGCTGAGGGAGGTAGCAAATGCCATTGTAATACCATTGTAGTTATCTTTGAGAAGTCGTGGTGATCAGGGGAGGTTCCTGAGGGCTAGAAGAAAGCAGATGTCAACTCTGTCTTCAAGGAGGTGGGTCTGGAGAACTACAGGCCAGTCAGCCTCACCTCAGTCACCTAGAAAGGTGATGGATGTGGCAAAGGCGGCCAGCAGCCTCCTGGCTGCAGGAGAAAGAGCGTTGGCCAGCAGGTTGAGGGAAGCGATCCTTCCCCTGTACTCAGCACTGGTGGAGGCCACGTCTGGAGCGCTACGGTCAGTCCTGGGCAACCTGGTAAAAGAGTGATGTGGACATACTGGAGCAAGCTCAGTGAAGGGCCACAAAGATGATTAAGGAATTGGAGCATCTGACGGACAAAGAGAAGCCGAGAGAGCTGGAACTGTTCATCACGGAGGAGTGAAAGCTCTGGGGACATCTTGCCAATGTCTGTAAATACCTGATGGGTGGAGAGAGAAAGACAGAGCAGACCCTTCCCAGTAGCGCCCAGTGACATGAGAAGAGGCAATGGGCACAAACTAAAATACAGGAAATTCCATTTAAATATGAGACAGAAGTTTTTAAGGTGAGAGTAATCAAACACTGGAACAGGTTGCCCGGAGATGTTGTGGAGTCTCCATCCTTGGAGATACTCAAAACCTTACTGGACACAACCCTGAGCAACCTGCTCTAGTTGGACCTGTTTTGAACAAGGGAGTCGGACTAGATGATTTCCAGGGGTCCCTTCCAATCTCAGCAATTCTGTGATCAGTGGTGAAAAGGAGAAAGCAGAAAGAAGTAAGACTTTTTCCTGTTATCATAGTTGCATCACTTTAAGAAATACATTGTTATCCTTTAAAAATGACACAATATTAAAAAGTATATTGCATATTATAAAATTTAAATTGTAAAAAACCCACTAAGGCACATTCTGGCATGTAAGTAGTCCAATGTATTGGTTCTGCTTCTAATCTTAATAATCAATTTAAATTTCTTCAGAGCAAATCATGAAAAATACTAAACTATCTCATGTCAAGTTTATACTTAAAACATTACTTGTACCCTTACCTTGAGTGAATCAGTTTATACCATATGCCTATGACTGTTCTTTCTAGATAATGCCAAATAATAACAAGACTGCAACATCTTACAGTACTTAATAGATTATTGGGTTTGTGTTTGTCAGTAATTTATGATATGAATTAGTGCGAAGTCTCACATATTTAGACTTTCACAAAGTACTTCATGTTCGCCTATTGTTAAAGCAGTGCAAAGGACATTATACAATTGAGTTTAATTTTTCATTTTACACTGTAAAATGTAAAATCTTGAATGTAAAGCTATTCTTCATCACAAGGAAAAGAAAAAATGATTTAAAGAGCAACGTATGAATCTTTAATTCAATTCTATAATTTTATTATAGTAGTGGCTAAAACCAACTAAAATTGGGACCACTGTGTACGACAGATTTAAGTACAAGCGTAAGCCCGTTTTAATACTTGAAGGTGCATCATTTAAGCTGACAAAATAGACAAAAGCTAGTATGAGTATATGAGTATATTCATCAATTTATCGTGTACGGTGGGTGCAAAAGCTGATCTGATGCATTTCACTTCTACTATCACTAAGATACCCAGGCTCCACAGTGTCCCTGCTGGGTCTGTTCTTCTTACTTCTGTAGCAGTGCGTAAATCAAGTGCCAAACATTTATAAATATGTCATATGCAACATGGATTATCATTATATTAGTTAATGAATGTCTGTTAAGAGTGCCTGACTTTCTGCAGTCTAATATTTGTCATAGGGCATACAGAGTAAAAACTGTTAATTTTTAATGCTGTATTTATTTAACAGTTTATTTTCCTATTTATTCTAATATGTAAATAAAACAAAGATACGTAAGGCAGCTCTCACTGAAGACAATAAAAACTCCTAGCAAGGCCACTGCTGTGACTTACTAGAATGTTCTCTTAATGCTGTTTATAGGTTACTTCCATATTCTAAAGTATGTAAAGCTTTTGGTTCACTGCAGATTTGGTGTTTTGGTTTTTTTAAAGGCAGAAAGTAATTTTAATGGCTCATGCACTATTCTCTTCTGTGTGTTTATTTGATATTAATTTTACTATATACACTTAGGAGAAGTCTGGACTCCGTAAAATATGCAGAGTGTCAAACTGTGTTTCTGTTAAGTAGGAGAACACGGGCTTCACAGAAATAGTCTGCACATTATCTTCAGGATGTAGAACTCTGTGCCCAGCTTTCTCTATAGGGACCTCCACGATGGATTGGTATGAAACTAGTGGATTAATGGATTAGTTGTTAATCTCTCCAGCTGACCTTGCCCTGTGGAGATGTCTTACAAGAGCCAGAAGTTTGACAATTGTGTATGCTACCAGAAGCTCATTAGTGTTTAGATGAAGGGACAGCATTTTATTGTAATTTAAATGATTAATTTTGGATTAGCTTACAGAGGTTTCTTGGGACTCTGGTTTAGTCGAAGAGCTATATACTATCGTGTTAGTATTTCCTCTAAAAGTTTTTCTGAAATAGCATGTGGCCACCGGTAAGGTGTGTTGACATAATTATCTGAGCATATATTTAAGACTTTGTATTTGGGTTAGCATTTATTTGCTTGTAGTGACATAAAATAGCCTATCGTATGAAGATAGGTATTGATAGCATTTATATTAACAGAGTAAGCAAGAATCTCTGGCTCGATTCTGCTGTAACACATCATTGACGAGATTTCTGTTGAAGAGTGACAAATGGCAATTTAACAGGGGTTCCTGTGCTAACCCAAATAGAGTTGTCCTTCAGGATCGCATGTCTGCACCCAGGGTGAAGGGCTAAATAAATCTTCAGTATGTATTTCGTTCAGGAATGGGAATATAGCAGTAAATGCTGAAGTCTAGTAGTTTTCTTTCAGATGCCTCAGCCAGAATAATCAGACTGAGTACTTACTGGAATTCTGGTTTAGAGATTTTAGAAAATACTAATAAATATCTACAGCCATTCTTCTGTTTTTTCTCCCAACCAAAGATAGTGTTATTTTTTCTCCACCAAATTTTCTGTGGAAAGGTTTATCCTGTCTTCAGAGTAAAAACAGTGTTTCATTTGGAGACAGCCGGCTTTAAGTGGACTTACAACCCCTGAAATAGCAGCTTTAAGGTGAGGCCCTTGCTGTAGCTTATCTATAGCATTGTAAATGCAGTTCTGTCCTAACGAAATTACAAATAAGGTTAAGGCAAGATATCTCATGAGTGTACATATTGGCTCCCATTCAATCAACA